TTCCCCTTTGTTTCCGACTTTTTCCGTAGTAAATAACTAATCTAGATCTATGTTACGTGGCCTTTCGTGATATGTAAAGATATATAAAATTTGCCCTTTCTAAGCCTGCAATAATTTGGCCTTTCTGAGCCTAAAATTAAAAAAAGAAATGAGAAAGAGATTCACACTCCAAGTATAGTCACTATATAGCTTTAACGAGGCCTAAATTTGTAAAAGGAATAATTATGGGAAAACACTGTTAGTCAGTCGGGGGGAAAAACCCTTTCCGGGATCGGGATTGGATCCCACGTTCACAAAGTAATATTGTATGACTTTTAACGCAGAGACGCTGTCCATTCGGCCATCAGAACTTCTGACGCTGAATGGTACTGTTTCCAACAGAATGGTACTGTTTCCATCAGAACTTGTGACGCTGAATGGTACTGTTTCCAACAGAATGGTACTGTTTCCATCAGAACTTGTGACGCTGAATGGTACTGTTTCCAACAGAATGGTACTGTTTCCATCAGAACTTCTGACGCTGAATGGTACTGTTTCCATCAGAACTTCTGACGCTGAATGGTACTGTTTCCATCAGAACTTCTGACGCTGAATGGTACTGTTTCCATCAGAACTTCTGACGCTGAATGGTACTGTTTCCAACAGAATGGTAGATTACACTATATTATATCTTTTAACATCATGGAAGGCCACGCAACATAGATGTAGTTATTTTTTACAACGGAAAAAGTCGGTAACATGGTGTGCAAGGAGGGGGGGGGGAACCATCAATGAAGCGAAGAAGCAGAAACTGGATGCGGGAACCCGTGTAAACCGGTAAATCGCGCCTGCGCATCACAAATAATTTCCTTGGTCTCATTGGACACCCAGCCGCCCACGCTACACAAGAGTCTTATCATAATATTCATTTATAAATGACAAGAAGGGGTGCTGTTGTTGTAAGTATTGTTGTAGCTGTTATTGTTATAGGTGTTGTTTTTGTTAGGTTTTTTAAAAATTCGTTGTTGTTGTTGTTGCTGTTGTTGGTAATGTTGTTGTTGTTGTTGTTGTTGTTGTTGTTGTTGTTGTTGTTGTTGTTGTTGTTCTTCTTCTTCTTCTTCTTCTCTCTTCTTCTTCTTCTTCTTCTTCTTCTTCTTCTTCTTCTTCTTCTTCTTCTTCTTCTTCTTCTTCTTCTTCTTCTTGTCGTTGTTGTTTTCACTTTTTTTTTTTTTTAACTCGTTTCTCATGGTGTCTTAAACAGGAGTGAACTATCTTGTAGCCTGCTACCTTTGGTGCTGGTCAAGCAGTAATTATTATAATTCCCATCATCCCCACAATGTCCGGCGCCATAGACGATAGGCGTCTGCAAACACGGGCGGGAGGAGGGGTGGGGGTTGTGGTGCAGGTGGAAGACGTTCTTACTTAGAGTCAAAGATTACACAGAGAGCGTACGTGGGCGGAGGAAGGAAACGGGACGACAAACAAGGCTATTAGCAGAGATTAGGTCTTCGTGACCAGCGCCGACCCACACAGACAGCCAATAACGTTGCGGAATAGCTCCATTAAATGCTCGAAACTGGGGAATGTGTTCTATGAACCATTAACTCTTCGAGGACGAGCGTTTTAGTCGTTCGACGTCACTTGAAGAAACGATGTTCCAAAACACGTTGAAAAGAAGCATTACTTCATTTTTCATTCCGGTATTTTAAAAAATATTTTGTTTCTTTATCTGAAACTTAGAAGTTCCTTTAATAACATGTGTACTATCTTTTATTGTGTTTTTGATTTGGTCAAAAAGTGCTACAATATTGCCTTTGGTCTGCCGTGGATCAGACATTATTATGTGTCCGTTACATCAATAAAGAGTTAATGTCATGTGCATGTGATCGTGATTCACAACGAGGTAAAGATCGTAATGCAACGTTTGCTTCGTATCCATTTCGCCTAACTACACTGTGGGTAGCTTTTTTGCGAAATCTAAATCGGGCCCTTTTATAACTCGAAATGTAAGTGATATTTAATGGATTTTTTTTGTTATAATAATAATAAGAAGAATGAAGATCATTTCTATAGCGCCCACTCCCGTGTAAACACAGCTCTAGGCGCTTTACATAAATGCATGTAAGAACAATATTAATGAACGCGAAACACACACACACACACACACACACACACACACACACACACACACACACACACTTTTTCTTCTTCTTCTTCTTCTTCTTCTTCTTCTTCTTCTTCTTCTTCTTCTTCTTCTTCTTCTTCTTCTTCTTCTTCTTCTTCTTCTTCTTCTTCTTCTTCTTCTTCTTTTCTTCTTCTTCTTCTTCTTCTTCTTCTTCTTCTTCTTCTTCTTCTTCTCCTTCTTCTTCTTCTTCGCTTGAAATGATATAGCAATTTTTCTAGCTCTTTGTCTATTTAGCTTGCCCTATCAGTATTGAAGAGGGCAAGTTTGAAGGAAAGAGAGACAGGGGTAGACAGAGGGAAAAATATTGGACAGGTTGATAACATGGCTGGGAACAGCAAGAATAAGTCCGGTCCCAGAGTGGCTCTGTTGATCTGACCTGTAGCTCGCTTACCTTGCACCGTGAAAAATAGACGTATACTTTATTGTAAGCTTGATCAGCGTCACTGTGTGGTCTGTCTCTTGTCAGCTGAGCTGCGCGACCCTTCAGACGTGCTATTCAACAACTTTTCCCGTTGCAACGCAAGCCAGAGTGAAGTGGAGGTCCATGATCGCCCAAGCCAGTCGGCAAGGCATACTAGTAGTAGTAGTAGTAGTAGTAGTAGTAGTAGTAGTAGTAGTAGTAGTAGTACGTTCACTGTAAACAAAATATAGGTAGCAGAACAATCACTTTATAAGCCTTTTTAAAAAATAAGCTTCTTCGCCATTTTCGAAGTTCTGTCAGAAGAAGATCTCTAGTCTAAAATTACAAAGTTTTATATCCTCAGTACCTAGTTTTGAGACATTTGACGTAAAAAAATGTGAGTTTCACAATATGTCAAACTTTTTAAATGCAATTCTTTGAATATCTTTTTAATAATTTCGAATAATATTGCCAATTTGACGGAGTAGATAGTACATTTGGTTTTTGACCTCATGGTCTTCGTGACTCAAAATGGCCAAAACTGTCAGAAAAAACTTTGTAATACTAGGTTAACGTTAGTGTGAACGCTTATTATTTCCAGGCGTCTTAGCAACGGGCAACTTGAAAACCCAATTCGATCATTATATTAAGAATCAATGTCTTTTGCGTTTAACATTCAGTTGTATCGTTCACAAAATACTTTACATAACACACCATCAATTTTCGGTCACAGTAATTTTCGGCCCAACGTTCTTAAAATGATAAGAGTGTTTTTCCTGCCGTCACCCAATTAATGGCCTCACAAACCATGGAGACCCCGGGTGAGCGTAGTAGGCCAAGTATGTTCCCAATGGAAGGCTCAAGTTTACTTTTACCCTCGTATCTAAAATGTAAAACACATTATAAGAAATGTTTGTACTTAATCTTTTTCCCTAACCACAACGTCGGAGTTGTGTGGTATTGTGATTAAAGCACCTGTCTCGGTCTCCGGAGGTCCTCAGCTTTAACTCCACAGAAATTCATTATTCTTGTCTCTATGATTTTTAAAGGTTTTCCAATGCATGCTCGACTTAGAAGCAAGTGATACTGAAAACATTCTTACGACTACATGTTTCTGCATAAAGAAACATCGAGGTTTAAAAAAAACAAGAGCAAAAACAAAAGGGATCCACAGACTAAAGACCTACTATTGTATTACTCACTCTGCGCCATCTAAAAAATGTCTTTTAAACACAGCATAATGATGCAGCATGGTAAACAGTATGAATTGCGAAGTAACATACACAATATGTATTGTGAAGTAACGTTGAAATAGGTACTTTCGTTTTAAAATCGAATCTAGAGAACATTATTATGTGATGGAAAATCAAAGAAACAGATAACAATAGCCTCCAAAGTTAACATGAAATAAGTCAACACATTTTTCATAACTACCTACGTATCCCATAGCAGACTGGGGAAAAGGTTTCTAGGGTATGAAGAAATGCTTATTCAAAGAGAAGTGAAAAATAAACATCCCACGACTCTTTATCTCCTCTTCGTCAAAGAATTGGGGGGCGATTTTTATGTAACAAATAAAAACATGCTTAAGGTACTTTTACGTTTACTTTTTCATCCTCTGTTGCCGTTAAGCGTCGAGGGGAGATGCAGTTTTCTATGGTAGGCCAGCAACAAGCTTAAAGTACAAAGGAAAAATAAAAAGTTCAAGCCAATGTGTTTTTGATTTCTTTTTCATGAAGAAGAAGAAGAAGAAGAAGAAGAAGAAGAAGAAGAAGAAGAAGAAGAAGAAAAAGAAGAAGAAGAAGAAGAACAACAACAACAACAGCAACAACAACAACAACAACAACAACAGCAACAACAACAACAACAACAACAACAACAACAACCATTTCTTTGACATTCAAAGTTAACTTTTCAATTTTGCCCTTGAGATGCACAACGTTTTAACCTGTACACAAACTTCAGTTCTAACATGATAAGATAAGATAAGATAAGATAAGATTAGATAAGATAAGATAAGATAAGATAAGATACGATAAGATAAGATACGATAAGATAAGATGATGCTTTATTGTCTGAGTGAGAACTTCTTCTTGGTCGTACAAGATTGGTGAAAACACATGTATACATAGAATTTAAATTATATATTAACTTCATCAAGATTAAATTATATGAAGAGAAAAATAAAGCTGGCGATAAAACAAATATCATATCAGATGCATCTTTCAACTTCGTGTAGAGTTTGTCATTTTAGCGTTATATAGACATTTTCGTATACTGTTTTATGTGATGAAACATCAACAGCAATAAACATGAATATTTATTTCAACAGCAGCGCACTCCAGATGGTAGGAAACCCGTTTTGTATCTTTCTTTGATTGTCCTTAGTGTTATGTATCTGCTGTTGCGTTATCTTACAATTTGTGTGGAGATGAAGTGGTGATGAATCGTTTAAAATGCTGTTTATCTTTGTTTTATTTGAGATCTCCTACAATTCATTAGTTTCATTAAAAATATGCAGAGATCAAGCTGGATATCTTTATGATTCGGTCAAATTTTCTTTGTCTAGCACACTACAGTCTCCAGCTGGGCAATATAATATACAAAACAGCAACACGCTTTCGATAATGGAGTGGTTAAAAATGGGGCATAATCTTATTATCAACAGGAAATCTTGTACATTCTTTGGTATAAGTTTCTTATGCTAAAGAGCAGCGTGGTGATGCATGTCGAGCTTGTTGCCAATGCTAACTCCAAGATATTCGTCGGAGTTTACAGCTTCCACCTTTCCACCTTCAATAAACAGTTGTCGCAATTGGTCTTTTTAACTGCGAATTAAATTTAATTCGCATGTCATTATTGCATACAGTGAAAGGAAGTGGTTATCACACCAGTGTGTAAATGCATTTACTGCGTTCCTGTTTTCATTCTCATTCGTTTTTATAAGGCCTTGGAGAGTGGAATCATCCACAAAATGTTCATCAGTTTGATGTTTTCTTTATTACAAGTACAGTCGTTGGTGTATGGAGTAAACAAGACAGGAGAGACTACACAGCCATGGCACCCACCGGTGTTCGTGAAAAGTATGTCGGAATTCACACCATTTGATTTTACATATAGATGCGAATTTATTACGAACTCAAAAAATTAAAACTAAAATGCTCTTATTTATGTGGGGTTTCATTGTGTTGAAGGCAGATTTTAAAAATCAGCAAAAAATATTGTGCTGTAATTTCGTAGTGTGTCTACGTGTTTATACATGTATATGTTATCTGCGAATACGAGAATGATATCTTATACGTC